TATTCTGGGCGTATCTTACCCCTGTTACAGTTTTCTGAAAACAAGATTTGTGTGTTTGTGGGCTTGGGTGGTTGGTGGGTGCTCTGCTGTGGTTTGCTCCTTCTCTCCTATCAAACATCTATCAGCCTTATCTCTCCTCCTTCTTTTCTTTGTATGTTACTCTCCAGTAACACCTCTTATCTTCGGCATCTATATGACCTATTTGTGTTGCAAGTTCCGTAAAACTGTAACAACAACTCCCCTACCGCTGTGGCTCTCACCAAACAGGGCTTGTTTCAGGAGGAGATCTTTGAGCCTTTCTCCGACAGAGGTCAAGTGTCAGGGGTCGGTGCATGCCATCCACCATTTCTGGGTTCTCTTTTGATTGGATTATATGGATGCTCTTTCTGTTTTCCTGTTTGTTGTGTTGGATTCTTGTTCACAGAGACGTCTGTATCAAAGGAAGAGTTTGGATATTTTTTTGTCTCTTATTTTTGCTTTGCTGATTCTTGGAAGTTGTTTTGTGGTATTGGGCCATTGATCCTTTCCTGAAATGTTTGTGGGGAAACTTTTTTTGTTGTTGAAAAAAATCTCACAAAAACTAACTTGTTTTCAGTTTGCTTGTTGCTGCTTGATTTTCTGTTGTGTTTGATGTCCAAAGTTGGGCGAGGGAGGGAAAGAGTGGGTGGTTGGTGGGTGCTCTGGTGTGGTTTGCTCCTTCTCTCCTATCAAACATCTATAGTCCTTATCTCTCCTCCTTCTTTTCTTTGTATGTTACTCTCCAGTAACACCTCTAATCTTCAGCACTTATATGACCTGTATGTGTTGCAAGTGCTGTAAAACGAACAAAAAATCATGTACCGCTGTGGCTCTCACCAAACAGGGCTTGTGTCAGGAGGAGATCTTTGAGCCTTTCTCCGACAGAGGTCAAGTGTCAGGGGTCGGTGCTTGCCATCAAACATTTCTGGGTTCTCTTTTGAATTGGATTTTTAGATGCTATTTCTGTTTTCCTGTTCCTTTTGTTGGATTCTTGTCAAAAGAGACGTCTGTATCAAAGGAAGAGTTTATATACTTTTTTGTCTCTTATTTTTGCTTTGCTGATTCTTGGAAGTTGTTTTGTGGTATTGGGCCATTGATCCTTTCCTGAAATGTTTGTGGGGTAACTTTTTTTTGTAAAACAAAAAAAACTTTCAAAAAAACTTGTTTTCAGGTTTTGTTTGCTGTTGCTTGATTTACTGTTGTGTTTGAATTTTTGGAGGAGGTTGGGGGGGGGGTGAGGGGTTGGAGTTTGGCGAGAGAGGGAAGGAACGAGAAAAGGAAAGAGAAAGGGAAGGAAGGAAGGAAGGAAGGGTTGGTGGGTATGCTATTGTGTGGAAAGTCTGCTTGTTTCTCGTTGGTCTCCACTTGTTTGTTGGGAGCCAGCTGGACTGCTCATGTCATTTTGTGGGAGTTTTTACAGTGGACAGATGCAGTGGTTTTCTTTCAACACTGTATGGGGAGGTTGTGGGTGGTTGGAGGGCGCCACTTTCTTACATTTTGGCAGCACTATATGACAGTTGTTGCGTTGATGTGCTTCATTTATTTAAACGAACATTTGTGTCTGTGGATGTATCTACTGGACATCCAGTGTGTCTGAGAGTGTGTCTCTTCATGTTGTCTGTGTGTATGTCACAGTGGATGTACCTACTAGACACAGTACATCAGGCTCTGGGATGGTGTGTGTGTGTGTATGTGTGTGTGTGTGTGTGTGTGTGTGTGTCTGACAGTGTGTCTCACCATGTTGCCTTTGTGTATGTCACAGTGGATGTACCTACTAGACACAGTCCACCAGGCTCTGGGATGGTGTGTGTGTGTGTGTATGTGTGTGTGTGTGTGTGTGTGTGTGTGTGTGTGTGTGTGTGTGTGTGTGTCTGACAGTGTGTCTCACCATGTTGCCTTTGTGTATGTCACAGTGGATGTACCTACTAGACACAGTACATCAGGCACTGGGATGGTGTGTGTGTGTGTGTGTGTGTGTGTGTGTGTGTGTGTATGTGTGTGTGTGTGTATGTGTGTGTGTGTCTGACAGTGTGTCTCACCTTGCTGCCTGTGTGTATGTCACAGTGGATGTACCTACTAGACACAGTCCACCAGGCTCTGGGATGGTGCGGTCTGAGCTCCGTGGACCCAGGACTGACGGCCGAGGTGGTACTCCGTCTAGCCATGGTGTATGAGAGCAGTGCGCAGCTAGACTCACTGGATGGTATGTATTTCTGAAGAAAAAAATCTTACACAGCCCCTCCCCACTCCTCCTTTTTTTTCTTTCCTATCAAACATCTATCGTCCTGATCTCTCCTCCTTCTTTTTTGTGTTTGTTACTCACTTGTAACACCTCTAATCTTCGGCACTTATATGACCTTACTGTGTTGGAAGTGCCGTAAACCTAAAAAATCATGTTGTCATGTCTATTTACAGTCATGTATGTCTTGTACGGTAGTAGAAGTGTTTCGCCCCTCCCCCCCCACCCATTGCTATGTTTATTCACAGTCATGTATGCGTTGTAATAAAGTGTTACACCCTTCCTCCCTTCTCCCCCTTTTGTAATGTTTATTCACAGTCATGTATGTGTTGTAATAAAGTGTTACGCCCTTCCTCCCTTCTCCCCCTTTTGTAATGTTTATTCACAGTCAGGTATGTGTTGTAATAAAGTGTTACGCCCTTCCTCCCTTCTCCCCCTTTTGTAATGTTCATTCACAGTCATGTATAAAATGTAGTAAAAGATGCCTGTCCGAGACAATCATCTGTACAAATGACCCCTTTTTACCCTTGAGGTTTTTTGTCTCTGTTATTCTTACTTACTTTATACTTTATCCGTCCTCTTGTCCCTCTAGGGCGTCGAGGCGAGAAAGAGCTTTTTGTCTCTAGCAAGTTTGATGTCCTGGCTGGCTTTATGTTATTTGTATACTATAATGGCACTGTCCAAGACATCCACCTGTCTAAGACAACCGCCTTTTTTACTCGATGGTGGGTGGTCATCTTGGACAATTTCGACAGCGATCTGTGGGGAATGCGTCAGTTATTGTTTCCCTTTGTTGTTGCCAGGCCGAGGCGCTGATGCCTACGCCAGTTTTGATTTTATCACACCGAGGAGCGCTCCCCAGACTCCACATGGTAACTCTCGCACACACACAGATACACACTCTCGCACATACATGCACACACTCTTGCACACACACACACGCACACACACACAGATACACACTTGCACGTGCTCACACAGATACACACTCTCGCACGCACACGCAGATACACACACACATACAGATACACACTCTCACACACACATGCTACGCACAGATACACTCACACACACAGATACACACTCTCGCACACACATGCACACTCACACACACAGGTACACACTCTCACACACACATGCACACACAAACGCACAGATACACACTCTTGCACACACACATACAGATACACACTCTTGCACACACACATACAGATACACACACACACACACACACACAGCGTTTTGAGTGTGCAGTGCTGTGTGGTCACATAGACTCAGTAGTAGAGTGCTGTGTTTTGCCGAGCGTGTGTTGCCTTCTCCTCCCTGGTGCCCATGGGTGGTTGGTGGCTGCTCTGGTATGCTTTGCTCCTTCTGTCCTATCAAGCATCTTGCGTCATTATCTCTGCTCCTTCATGTCTTTGTATGTTACTCGCTAGTAAAATCTCTAATCTTTGGCGTTCATTTGACATATTTGTGTTGTAAGTGCTGTAAAACTATTACTCCGTCTTTTCTCATATTCCACCTTTTATTTTTCACTTTGTCCTCTTATGAGCTTCTTCATTCTTCTCTCTCTCTCTCTCTCTCTCTCTCTCTCTCTCTCTCTCTCTCTCTCTCTCTCTCTCTCTCTCTCTCTCTCTCTCTCCTCACATTCTCCCTCTCCCTTTCCTTTTCCCTTCTACTTTCATCTCT